AGCGATTGATCATTTAATAGAAGTAAATGATAAACTAATTAGAAAGATAAAAAAAGAAGATCTAAAGAAACTACAGATTAGAAATTGTTACCATTCCCCAGAAGTCTCAGAAACAGATGAAGAATCAACAACAAAAAAGGTTGTAATTTATGACTTAAAGTGGAGATCACAAGCTGTAAGTTAAATTCATAATTTTTATAACAGTTAAATCTCTATATACATCTTTATTATCAACTATAAGTATGCATTTTTACATCACGAACTTCGAAGGTCCATATTTTATGTAATATTACATAGACGCATACCGAAAATGTATATAAGGTTGGCAGCACAGCTCTCATGAACTATAAATCAGATATAATATAGCACAATCAGTAAGATTCAAAACAAATATTCATTCCGCAAAAAATCGCCTATAGCTCAAAAATCAGTATAAGAAACCAAACCTTTTATGCTCTAGCAAAAAGGTTTTGTTATACAATTTACTATATAAACTATTCTCTCTGGATCCTAACCCTAACCCTAACCTTAGCGAATTTAAGAATTGTCTGCACTGTCAACCTTGTACACTTTTTTGGTATACATAAAATGACAATAAAATTATTAATTGTTTGATATATATTTATATAAGTGAAAGTTACTTGTAAGATATTATATAAATTCATATAAGTTCATGTAGATTTATATAATTTCTTATCTAGTAATTTTATAAAAAAGAGTTAGTAATAATGTGCATTTAAAGAGAATATTATTAGTAGTAGGTACTAAGATATATGGTGAAATTATAGATGTACACTTATAAAATATGCATATGTAGAGATTAACTTAAATTATTTTATTTTTAAGCTGAAAGAGTTGTTAAGAAATTATGTGGACAAGATTTCTGATGAAACGGCTAAGGTCAAACCAGTTCGAGTAAGAAGGTATAGAACAGTGTTTGCATCGGAGGATAAGCGACCAATAAAATTGCCAAAAGGATGTTGGCTAAATATGAAACTGAGATCGATGAAGAGGTGAATGAAGTCAATGAAGAGGTGAATGAGGTAGATGGAGAGGCAAATGAGATCAATGAAGAAGAGAGTGAAGTCGAAGAGGAAAATGATGTTGATGAAGAGGAGAATGAAGTCGATGAGATCAAAACTTTGGATTGAAATAGCAATAACAATTATTTTACTAATTGACATTACATTAAAGAATGACACAAGTACGGTCAAACCCTCTGTAGTCATACTCTATATAGTCACATTTACTTATAATCACACTAATCTTTAAAACTAACTTATATGAATTATTCAGGGTGACCACCAAAACGTGATGATGTAGATCATAGTGCAGCCTTAGTATAGATTATTGGATTATAAAATTTAACTGATTATAACTAATTTTCACCCTAAGTGATATCACCCGACATTATAAATTTTTATTAAAATCAAATTATTTAAGATTAGAGTAAGAAGGTTCATATATATATAAAATTTGATGCTGGTTTTTTTTTTCTACACAAGATTGTGAGCAGATTGGCTTTATACAACCAGGTGATATCTAGGGTAAAAATTAGCAATAGTCAATTTAACTATAATTATTAGAATAAAATATATAAAATTTAACCTCTATATAAACACTATTTTTTATAAGCACAAAATTTCTTGAAACAAAGTGTGTGATTATATAGAGGGTTGATTTATATATATTTAATATTATATAACAAATCATTTACCTAAAATAGAAGCTATTCTAGCATGTTGAGTAATTAGTAATAAATATAGATTAGACCCCAAAGTAATTCTTATTTTAATTAGGTCTAAAGCCTGATACCTTATGAGATTATCCGATATGCGTTCTGTAGTTTCTTTAGATCTTCTTTTTTTATCTTTCTAATTAGTTTATCATTTACTTCTATTAAATGATCAATCGCT